ATTAAAGTCCAAAATTAGGGGCAGGACTCTTGCTGCCATGAACTTTCCAAGAAGGCAAGAGGATTTGTGTTTGTCAAAATTTGTAGAAGGCAACGAATTGGATAAGGTAGCACAATGAGTGAATCAAAATCATTTCCTATTCATCATTTTGTCTTAGCAATGTTTTTTTTTTTTTAAAGTGGTCTAGGTACTTTTGGATATAAAATTGCATATTTCAAAACTAATCTATCTCTAATTTTAATGTATTTATGTAATTTTCTTATCATACTAAATACAAAACAAATTTAAGCCTCCAAATTATCAACAAAGAAATGATTTTAAGAATTCATGAGCTACTAGATTTGAGTTTTCATATAAAATTTGCATAGTATATATTTCTAGGATATAAAATTAACATAACTAAATCTTTTTAACTATATTTACCCAAAAAAATTCTTCTTAATTATCTCAAAAATATAGAGATTTTAAGTTTGAGTAAAACAAATGTGCATGTTACTGCGTAATCAAAAAAATATTTTTGCGGGAGACAATATTGTACTAAAATCAATTGGAAATCTTTGTATTTCAAAGGAAAATTTTAGGGGCCAAATACCTAGTGCTAGATGCTCTTAGTTGAACTCAATATTTAAATTCAATGATAAGTAAGTATTATTCTATAAATTAGCTTTCATGTTTAAAATTTAGAGTTAGTATTTAAAAAATTAATTTTTTTAAATGTATCAAATTAATATTGAGAGGTATGCTTTTAAAATTACTTAAAAAATTAATTTTAATATATATAAAAGTTGATTCAAGATCATTCACACCATAAATAAATATATATATATATATATATAAATACTCTTAGTGGAGAATTTGAAATAAAATTTTAAATGTGAATCAAGGGAATATCAAAAAAATAAAAGTGCTAGCATCATAAGAGGATATCCAAAGCAGGTAGGCAAAAATGGGCGACAATATTGGAGGAAGTAAATAAGAAATTCAAACGGGTAGTTCCCTTGAGATTTGTGTTAAACATATATAAACATAATCCTTAATCATTGTGAAAAAATGTTACACCTGATCCCACCACTGCAGCTAAATTAATGCATGCAGTAATTTAATATTTACTCTATTTACGGATCTAGGTGTTAATCACACAAGGTCACACTTTAATTGTTTTACCAAAAATATATTGGTTCGAGTGGAATGAATTTGATTCTCTTTAAGTAAGATTTTGAATTCAAATTTTCTGAATAGAAAAAATAAACACTGAAAGAGTTTTTCTTCGTATGAGGTCTGACTCGACTCGACTCGACTCAATTTTAATTTAATTAGAGTTTAATATGATTTCAATTTAATTAGAGTTTAATATGATTTCTGAATACTGAGAGTTAATAAAAAAAAAAAAACACTTTAATCCTTTCATATGATGTCCCAAAAGGAAATTAATTTCATACGGAATGAAATTTCTAGAATGCATCAACGTATTTAAGGGGAGGAACTAAGTCTCCAAGGGTAGCAAGCTCACCTTCAGAGACACCATAATCAGTTATAAAATATAATAATTTAAAATTATATATTTATATTTGAAAGTTAAACCATGTAATTTCATTAATAAAAAAGAATAATTTAAAATTTTTTATTTTAACTTGTATAATAAAAAGTAATCTTCTATTACCTTCTAACTATTTATGTCATTGGCAATTTAGATTTTATTCAATTTATTTGTTTCAAATACATAATTTGTAGTTGGGAACTCATCATATATTTGCTATTATTAAGTATAACAACTAAACCAACATAAATAATTTTTAAATTTTTAATTTTATTTTTTTGATCGAATTACAATTTAAGAAGTGAGGGATTTGAATATCAACCCTAAAGATGGAGACACCTTACGATTAGAAATATATTCATCAAATCACGAAATCCCGGTACTTTCAGTTTTTTCTTTTTAACTTATCAAAATTCTATCGAAGTTGATTAATAGGCAATATATATAGAGAGGTTGAATAGAGTCCAAAATTTTCTGACCAAATCAATCATAATCCAAGTGTAAATCAAATACATTAAACTCAAAGTCCAAACCTTCTATTTGTACTTTACATTTTTTTATGATTAATATTTTTGTATAATTTTTACTTGGAATCAACATCCTCTAAAATTTAAATTTTATAAAATATCTTAAATTATTAATAAAATTAAAGTGCAAATAAAGAGTTTGATGGTTAATTTTTAAATTTTTTTCATAAAATTTAAATTATAAAAAGTGTTGCATAAGAATAATTTTTAAAAAAAAATATTGACACAAAAAAATAATATATATGGTACAAATATCAACTTTGGCGAAACTCAAATAAGGCAACTTTTTCTAGTTAAATGGGATTTTTCAACTCTATTTTAGCAATCAATTAAATATTAAGAAAGAAAAATGTCGTGTCATTAAAAAGATGGAGTCAAGATTATTAGTTAAATCAACAAAAACTTAATAGATATTGAATGAGAAAGATGGAATAAAAACCTATATAATTATATTATCAATTAAATTTTGATTAATTATATAAACTAAAATGTAAGAAAATTAATTTTTTACGTTAAAAAAAATTAATTGCACTTAACTTATTGGCTGAGTGGCTATTGACACCTTATTAAAGTGCAATTGCCCCCTTTTTTTGGGGTTGGATTCAAACTATATGATATTTTGTTAAAAAAAATATATAAAAAAATTAATTTCATCCAATATAATAACAAATGGTGAGATTTATTTCAAATAAAAATATATAAATTTATTTTAATAATTACTAAAAATAGGGAGTAAATATATCTTTTTCTGCCAAGTTTTATTTAAATTTGGTCTCTTTTTTTGGATGATCTATTTGAATTTGTTGGTCCATATTGTAACATTGACTAGTAATTAAAACCTACCGAAAAGTTTTTTTTGAATTTGGTCCTTATTTTAACATTGACTAGTAATTAAAACTTAGCTACCATAGTTCGATCAAGGAAAAATCTTAGCCACCAAAATCTCGTAGACGAATTCAAATACTTGTTGCACACGATTAGCGCTGTGCCTCGCCTCCACAACTTAGCAGACATAATCCGAATCTTAGGGAAGACTTCTAACAACTGATTGAATACTTCCTGGCTACTTCCTAGTTCTTGGACCAGTCAATGCCACGAAATAAACTAAAATATCTGTTAATTTGCTTCCAACAATTAACATTACTATTTTTTTTATAAAAAAAAAAACCCTTAACTATTGATGGATAAGTTTGGTCTAATACTATATGCAATAGTATCAATAATTTGAAATTTAATAACTAGATATCATAATTTGATTTGATCACATCTCAAGATAGGGTTTGAAATTTGAATAGTAAACATGTATGGATTACTTATTTAGATGCAATTGATAATCATCGTTTATAACTTATCTTACATTTGAGTTGAAGAGGATGGAAGGGAGGAGATGAGAGGAGATGATAAAGTTTTTTACCCGTCAATTTATAATATTTTTAAATATTATAATCTAATTAATTAAAAAATTCTTTTTTTTCCTTCATTTCCCTCTACTCAAACATACTATTAGAATATTTTGATTAAGATTAATAACTAATAGCTATTTTAGCAAACACCAAGGTCTGATTAGCATTATTATTGTTCATTGGCTTTAATTTTGATTCCTTTAAATTTCGCAAAACAATACTACTTACTCTAGTATATTTAAGCACATGAATTACTATATATATCATTAGTTATTACATAAAAGAATTAAATAAATTAGAAACAACAATTATATAAACAATATTAAATATCACAGATTCATAGCTAAAAACACTTATAATGTCCTCATGTAATAAACATAGACAATATTAATATATCACTAGTAAACAAGTAAATATAGGGTATTTTAGTCTATTTAGAAGGAAAACTCTATTTTAAAATTATGCCTTTTTAATAAAATATCATGAAAAATAATTAAAAATATATAATTAATACTTTAAAAATAAAATATGAATCTATTTATACATAAATTTTACACAATATATTTACACAAAATATTAACTATTTATCTCATTTTTCAACTTTTAATGCTTAAGATTTGTTATAACTTTTTAATTGATAAATATAATTATTGTTGATAAATATAATAAAAAAGTAAATAAATTTCAACAATTAAAAGTGGAAAAATAAATTTTAACAATTAAAAGTGAAAAAAAATAATTAAGAATTTTTTTGGATAGAATGTGAATTTTATGTAAATATAATATTTTAGATATGTGTAAATAAATCTTTATTTTTAAAAATAAAATATTTTAACATTTTTAAAGAAAATTTATTGAAATAATGTATTTTTGAAATAGTTTTTTTTTTTTAAATTTTAATGAGGTAAAATGAAAGGGGCACTTTCTCCCCTATTCATGTGTTTCTTCTAATCAATTATAATTATTACCATCTAAGATTATCTAAGATTATAAGCGAATCATTTTTCTTTAAATATGAAAGCATTTGTGCTTGATTACACCCCCACCAACATGTAGGACAACGGCAATTACCATTTCTGATTTTAGAATTACTTTTGTTATTATAATGTTTGAAATTAAGAACAAAGGAACAAGAAAAAAATGGAAAAGAGAAAAAGTTCAATTGCTACATAAGCACCTATAACTGGAGTCGCAATCACGGACCCAAATCCAGTCATCTTCTTCGCTTCTTTCTCCCCTGTCAAAGTCTAATACTCAAAAGTGAACACCTCCTTTTGAATTTTCCTGCAACTTTTCCTCATTTCTTCACCTTAAAACCCGTTCTTCATTTCAATCTCATTGCTCTATTGAAAACCCACAAAAACCCACAAAAACCCATTTGAGTTATAGATTTTTATTGTAATTTTTGATCTGGGTTTGTTCCAAAGAAAAGAACTTCAATCATATTTCCTTACTTTTTGGGTTTTCCCTCATTGGAAACATATCTTAGAACATTTGGATACAATATCCCATTTGGAATACGCAAATTATACACCGATTCCCATCTGGGTTTTGTTTATTGAGTGGGATTCTGAAGTGTACTGCTCTGTTTTGGTTGTTCCGGCCATGGGTGGATCGGACGATTTTGAGGAATCGAAAGCAGTGGCTATTACTGGTAAGATCACGATTTTAGCTATAATTGTTCTCTTATTGGTGGTTGTCTTCGTTCTCTTCCTCCATATGTACGCGAAATGTTTCTGGTGGCGCATTGAGGAACAACACCCTCCTCGTATTGGCCGACGGCGGCGCCGATTTGTCTTCGCTACTGGGCAAGAGACGTCTCTCTATGTCCGTTCCTCAAAGGGCCTTGATTCCGCAGTCCTCGCATCTCTTCCCCTGCTCGTGTTTCGCCAAGAGGATTTCAAGGATGGACTTGAGTGTGCGGTTTGCTTGTGTGAGCTTGAAGAAGGGGAGAAAGCTAGGCTGCTTCCGAAATGCAACCATGGATTCCATGTGGATTGCATCGACATGTGGTTTCAATCGCACTCCACATGTCCCCTTTGCCGGAATCCTGTCGCCGCCTTTGAGAGTGAGGACTCGAGTTCTGTGGATTCAGTAGATGTTCATCTCGAGTCTTCTCAACAAAATTCCTCATCCGGGCATTCCGCAGAATCTCCTATTTTCCCTACCAATATTTTGTTTTGGGGGAACGAAACTCAGGTCAGCAGCGTCGGTGCTGGTTTGGAAGAGGGCATCTCAGCCTCCCCCTCATCCGCCTCTTTTCCGTCCTCCTCCTCTGGCAACGGCAGCAGCAGCAACAGGTCGGAGGGGATGTTGGTGATTGATGTTTCTACGAATATGAATGAGAATTTGACAGAGGGAGAATCAAAGTCGCCAATGCCTACAAGATTGAGGTCATTGAAGAGGCTTCTGAGCAGGGACAACAGAGTGGCTCCTAATTGTTCTAGTAGCAGCTCTCTGGAGGTTTAGGTACACTGGGGAAGAGGTTTCATCTTGAAAGCCGATTTGGGATGCCCCAAGATGTGTTTATATTCTGGATCGGGGTGAAGATTAATCAGGCTAGAATCTTGTATCTCTTGGATTGTTCAGCTCGATGGTTGCATTGAGCACTTGAGAAATCTTGGAATCTGTATTTGCAGAGGTGAAAACAATCTACGGATGATGTGGTTTATAAAGATTCATCAATTGAACCAAATTCTTCATCATATTTTCTTATTGATTTCATGTGTTTATGGTGATTCATATCACTACAATGCATCTACTTCATTAAGAATAGTCCCCTACACTCTGTGAATTGAGAGCATTTTCTTACATAGAGTGGTTTGCACTATGTGACCAGGTAGATAGGTCCATAGGCATTGACATGGTGAGAATTGTTTTGTTGGTCAAGGCACATATATGGCACCTCTGCTTCTTCCTTCTTTGTAGGGTTGAAAAGGATGGTCAGAGGTCCGGATGATGGGCGCTGGCTCCTTGTATCCACTCTGGTGTCTCCGCATATGGGACCAGAAACATAACCCTTCTTTGGCTTGGAAATCCTAGGAGGAGCATTGGCAGGATGCATGCTGGGTTTGCTGCTCTTTTTCTCAGCTTTGCACCATGAGAAAAGAGAACTTTTCCATGATTTCTTTCTCTTTTTCTCCCCTTCTCCCAATCTTTTCTCTCCAGTTGCTTCCGAATTTCCATATGATACCTGGGGGTGCACTTCTCTTGCATATTGTCTTGCTTCTTCCAGGAACTGATAAACCCAAAGCCAGAGAAGAAAAAGAAATCACACAAATAGCAAATTAGAAGGAACCCGAACCCAAAACCAAAACCAGAATGTTTACCTCTGAGAAATTCGCACCAGCATCAAATTCATACCCACCAAAATCACTTGCCTCAACCTTTGGATGCACTGGAGATTTTCTCATTCTTTCCTGCGGAAATAGTAAAACCCAATTGCATAAAGGAGTCAGGAAAGAAAATTGCATCTAGCCATCCACCTTGGTTTAATGTAGATTGTACCAGAAGAAGAAGAAGAAATGGAAATCAAATTTGTCAGTGAAGCAAATTCTCTTTAAAGTCTTGAAGTTCCAACCACCTGAATGATTCCATCCGCTCAGAGTAAACAAGGGAAATGCTAACAACCAAACCAAAACAAATCAAATTACAAGTTAGAGGAAATATATAGAAGAAGAATCATTTTGGTAGTTGGAATGATATGATTTTTGCTTAAATTTGTGTGTCAAGGAATGGCATACCAGAAGGACGTACTGAAAATGAAGCATAAATCTCAACTAAGGTAAAAGCGGTTTTCAGCAAAGAAGAAAGGAATAACGGTGAAAAACTAAATGTACTGATTAGGCATAGGAAAAGATCATCAAAGAAGTTAATGAGTCATTTGTACCTACCATACTTAATAACAATTTGTAGGACCTTTAATCATTGGACCAAATAAGACTCACATATTTTGCTTCCTCTTGAAAGATATTCAATTTTCAAGTATGGAATAAAATAACTATAAAGGTTTATTCATGCAACGGAAGAGTTAATCATTTGGTACCTTTTGTTATTTTTATATTTTGAGAATTGAGAGGCAAAAGGAAGAGTAGGAAGCAAGAGTTGAAAGGGCAAAACCATATATTAAGTCCCCAAATATATGGCAAACTTGACATCTGTTTATATTTTGTTTATGTGAATAATATATTGATATATTATTACTTATGTGAGAAATATTGATCTTGCCTATATAAATAAAACACAAAATGACTTTAAGTTCACCGTAAAAAAGAAGGTTAAATTAAACAAATTGTAATTTTAGGGATTTATTTACTCCAATAAAAATCAAAAAGCTTAATCAAGAATATGATAAAAGTTTAGGGGCTTAACATAAAATTTTGCCCTTAAAAGCCTTCATTGAATATGGTTGAATTAAAGGCTCAAACACGAGGTAGGTACTTCCATTGAATATAAATTAAACAAATATGGTAGAATTAAGAATTCTATAAAAACATTTTTTATCCCATCATCCAAGAGGGAAGGATGGGAAGTCCAAACCCTCATTATTAAAGAAAAAAAAATATTCACATACAGGAGGCTCTAGGGAGCCAATTATTAAAATAAAGACATATCCCCTCCCAAAAAAAAGAAAAAAAAAAAACTACTTTGCAAAAAATGTAAAGATTATTAAGAAAAATTAAAAAGGACATATTTTTTTTTAACATTAGATGTTTTCAAATTAGTTTTTATAAATTTTAAATTAATTATTTTTAAAAAAATTTAAAAAACACAATCAATTGACCTTGAGATTTATCTTCATATGAACTTATTTACAAACGGATCTTAATCTCTAGACTATAACAAGGACAAACTACATTGCCATTGGATTGGCAAAATCAGGAAATGGAAGAATGCATGATACTCGGCGCACGTTTTGGAGATTATAAGACTTCCCCCCCTCCCCCTTATTTTCTTTTCCCTTTTTCTTTTCCTTTTGGAGGGAAATCTCCACACCGAAAGTGGGAAAATGTAACCACATCTAATAAAACAAAAGAAAAGTGATGGAGACAAATTGGAGGCATTGCATGTTAACTCCCGCCGAGTTAACATATACCTAACAAAATTAACCGAGGTGATATTTAGCCATCAAAATTTAGACCATTATAGTCTTTAATTGGTAATATTATATGAACAGTCTACTTTGATGCAGTGACATGAATTTTGAGTCAGAATCGTTCATTTTTTGTGAGTGACGTATTTGAGTCATTTACTTTTTGTGAGTGATGTATTTGAGTTCTACGAATTTTATTTCTCATATCTCTACTTAATTAATATATATAATTAATTTCAATTTGATAAAAAAAAATTGTAATATTATACAAATTTATTCATTTAATAATATATAAAAATTATATTAAAAATTTTACCAAATAATTATTTATATATCATTACCTTTTACCAATTCAAATAGAGTTTACACTCCATTTAGGGAAAATATTTACTTAATGCTGCTAGATTTAAAATCTAAAGTGCAATCTAAATGTAACATTTCTTATTTCTACTCATTTCAAAACATTGATTCCAAAGTGAGGATAGAGGATTCAAATCTTTACAACTAAGCATGTTGACTTCCTAATACACCAAAACCCAAAATGTTAGAAGTTATTTTGCATGTAAAAAAGGTAACCCATAATATTGACTCTTAATGATCCAAGGAATTCATTTCACACTACCCCACCATAAAATACCGAGTAACATCAAGGAAAAAGGACCGGACCCCATCATCCTGCAATCCAGCTCAAGACTTCATTGACAAAGCTTCGTCTTTATTTTTACCTGCCACTGTCGGGTAAGGTAGTTTCATCGGTGGGCCTTCTGCTCCATACGTAAGCAATTCTCACAGTTAAGCAAACTTTGAATCTCCCATCTTTTGCCTTCTTGACTCAAGAATGTATCACTCCAGCAGTCTATATCATCTAGAGTACTATTAAGGATCTGTATGGTACAGCAGTATTAAGATAATAATTAATAATTTTGTTTAAATAACTAAAAAGAAACGATTTTTATATAATTTTTTGTTTTATTTTATTATATAATCTGACGTATCATTAAAATGATTAGTTTTTTTAATTCATGTAAAACATGTGATATTGAATGCATCCACTCATCTGATGACATATGAAAGTTGTATAAAAAAATCAGATAAAAAAATTATCCTTATAATGTCACTTATAACTAAAAATATATGTTTAATAAATTTATATATTTCAAGATTATTATAAATAAGGTAATTAATAAAAGCTTTTATTTAACAGCTTACAACTAGTAGTCATTAGTTAGAGTTTAAAACGTGTTGAAAAAAATTAATTTAGATAGTTTTTTATACTAAATCAATAATAAATTAAATTTTTTTAATTTTATTGA